AGACACGTCAACTCTTCAGAAATCACCAGTGGGGTCACTGCTGATGGATTTAATGTCGTAGAACAAAACGTGATCCGTCTCTTCAATGTGTCTCAACCACAGAGCTTAGTTCAGATAGTTTCCTAAATCCTATGGAGAGATCCCATTGGCTCTGAGACGAGGGAACAGGAAGTGATGAAATGCTAACTTACTTCCTGGTTTTAGGATGCGTCACTGCGGCACTCTATTCTAACTTATTCTAAATATTTTATATCGTTTCTTTCAAAGATATTCTAGTTTCTAGAGTTTCTTTTGATCATTGGCTGTTCATTTTAGTATTTTAATATATTAACTAATGTGCAATGTGATATCAACATCACTTTTAAAATGATGACTTTTCACACATAACAAAACACTGACTCTTTATAAAATACTTTTAAAAAATACCTTAAAAGAATAATTATCTGCTGTTTTTCAACTGATGATCGTTGTTTGTATTCTATGTTCGAATACGGATGCAGACGATGGCATTCCATGTGTATTGGACATCATGTTTAATACATTATCAAATATCTTTAAAAAATTAAAATATCTTTTTGAACATTAAAGCATGGAGACATGTCCCAGTAGAGACACGACATACTGATACACACCTGGCAATGAGCATCATATGTCCTCTCTAATCCGCTAAAAATTACATTTATCTTTTTCCTCTCTCAAAAAGGTAATTTTAAAGATTTCTACCTTGAGGAAAACCCTTATTTATGAACCCCCATTACCCACGGCCTTTTGACACAGATACTGTAAACAGGATTTGAAGAGGAGCACATGTGTTTTAGATTTCATTCTACCTTCTAAGCTTTTGTCCTGACCTGAATAGAGCGAACAGGAAAAACTAAGAGATACAGTTACAGTCTTTTGGTTTCACGAGGACGCATTCCTGCGCCTTTTGTATTCTGTCCATCACTGAGTCGGCCCATCTGGGATTGTGAATCCTTTATTACCAGTATAAATCTCTTTTCATTCATCTAGCTGTGTCAAACCGATTGTTCTTTAAAGCCAGAGAGTCTGAAACCAATAAACACAATATTCTTGGAAAGATGTATTATGTGGATCATGCCGATTGCTTGCAAACGATAAATGTGTTGCTTCTTCTTCACTCATGAAGTGCTGCCAGAGTTCCCGTTAGAATTTATTTTTGCCGGTCAACATGTCCGTTAAAGTTTAAATCTTCCGGACAAAATGAGAAAAGTGCCGGTCAAAGGTCTTCTTTGTTATGTATTGAGCTTTAAAACAAATTCATATGATTCGATATTAAACAAACTAATTATAGTAGATTAACTACATTATTCAAAAGTGTTCAGTAACTTATAATAACACGCGGGAATAATAAACGGAGCGCTCTCTCCTGACAGCCCGTCAGTATCATGCAGCTCGCGGATCCAGTAATGAGTGACCTGACAATAAAAACATATCTATAACTATAACTAGGTACTATAGTTTGAGAGGTAATTAAAATAGCTACGTATGGGGTCAGATTTGGGTCAATATTCTAGCGCGCAAAACAAGCTACTCACGAGCGGAAAATGTGCTTTTAATTTACACTCGCATGAAATGACCCTCGCACGCAGATTAAACCCCCGCGAGCGGCTGTGCGCTCTATGCAGCCCTCTTGCTCGCTCGCGGGAGTGTCAGCCTCACTCTTCTTGTCCGTCACATACTCTTCTTGTCTGTCACATAAGTGGCGCAACTGATGCGGTATTGTGCTAAAGGGAAATTATTTTGACCGGACATTTTGACCAGAGATTTAGATTTGCCGGTCTTCAGCATATTTTATCGGTCAAAGTCCGGTAATTACCGGCTAACGGAAACTATTTTGAATGATGATTGGTTATAAAATGGTCAGAAAATAGTGGAAAATGTCCAAGTTAAAGGTGGTATGATATAAAAAGTATTGTTTCGTCAGTCAAAGAAACAAAGACATCCACTTTAATCTGATATAAAACAGGGAAACATCAGGAAATCTTCATATTTGAGAGGCGGAATTTACATCAATTATCGAAATAGTTGATAATCTTTCTGTCGATTGAATAACCGATTAGCTGATTAATTGTTGCGGCTCTACACTAATGCAAATTTTACTTTATACGTATATTTTAACACTTACTGAAAGGCTTATTTGAAAAGGGAGCGCAGCAGTGACAGTGGGGGAGACAGGGGGAGGTAAAAAGAGTTTGAGAGGGGTACGATCACAGCAGTAAGGTCTAATCTTATTAGTGTGATTGACAGGATTAAAGAAACCAAGAGACCCCAGCAGCTGGATATTCACTCACAGACTGAAGGGGGAGAGGAAAGGAAAGGGGCACAAAGGAAAGCACAAGAAAACCTGCTGAACAAGAGACTTAGTAACATAACAACTCCTGAACAAATAGGGTAAGACGTCTCTGGGTTAACATTTTGATTAGCTTGTGTCTAAGTTTTAAAAGACGGAACGGCAAGAATTGAAATGCGTTTTTGCTGCAGTCTTCTACAGTTATACAGAAACTCTGAAAAACCCAAAACAAAAAAAAAAAACCTTTTCCTCCATACCCACATCTCTAAAAACGGGGGAACAACGGAGCTGATCCAGATTTGCGTCCGATATGACGTAATATTAATACTAAAACAACATTTTTTCATTTTGACGTTTTGCATTAAGAAATAATCTGTCAATTTTTTACAAGACACCCATTTAGAAATGTTAATACCACATTGTTTAAAGGGGACCTATCATGCAAAATGCACTTTTTGATGTCTTTGATACATCAACATGTGTCCCCGGTGTGTCGGGGAACTCACGCAGCGTCAGAAAATAAAACCCTCTCTCTTTTCCTCCGTACCCAAATCTCTAAAAACGGGGAACAACGGAGCTGATCCAGATTTGCGTCCGATATGACGTAATATCTGAAATGTGGACCCACGGCCCAATCAGAAACGTTGCTATCAGAAACAATGCCCGACTGTTTTGGACGTAATATGGTCGATGTTTACATTAGCATCGCTAACACTCAGAGCTAACCTGTACTGGAGAGCATGTGTGTGAAGAAGCAGGAAGTAAAAAGGAACTCACCTTGTGGTATAACCGGCAAGAGAGAAAGCCTTTGAGCTCCAGACTGTTTCAGAGAATCCTTGATGTGTTTGGAACATGATATGGCGTTTCATCGCGGCAGCATTTAGTTTAGACAGTAGCTGCCGGGTCCTTTTTATTTGTGTCAGACTCTTCTTTTTTTTTTTAAAGCTTTATACCCAAATGATCACTTTAGAAACAGGAAGTGAAATAGAGGGATATGAGGCGTGGCTAGAATGGTGATCTGTTTGGTATTTTGAGCAAAACACTTCATAGACATGTCTTTTTATATATTTGTATATATCTGAGACCTATGCTATTGCCTACAAATAGCATGATAGGTGACCTTTAAGTAATTGTTCATGCACAAATGTAAAAGAAAGCTGTTTTTTTTTTGTCCCTCAAATATGAAGAGTTGCTGCTCTTCTGTTTTAATCAGATTAAAGTAAATATCTTTGAGTTTTGGACTGACAAAACAATTTAAAGACATTAATTGGGACTTTGAGAAACTAAGATGCTTTTATTTACATGTTACCGGCGCATTATATTTAATTGACTTAACATATCTGCCTTTAAAATACTTTAAATATTGGAAGGAAGAAGGAGATCTTATTGTGAAATAAACAGGAAGTTATAGAAACAAATGGCCAACTACTTTGATCATTGGTTGATCTTTGAAGTCCTTTTTACTGAAAATGTGTCAAACGATGAAGTCCTTATCTTTTCGATGTTGAGATTTCCTGATTTGTTTATGCTTTAAGAAAGAGATATGTTTAGCTCTTGGATTAACAACAAGAATGTTAAAGATATCAGACTTTCAGGGACTAAGATGGACCTTTGCTCACTTTTCTCTGATATTTTAGAACCATTCATTGATTAATCAACACCATAATGAAAATAATGGTTAGTTGCCGCATTAGATCTCGTATTGTTCCACACGAACACTCAGTTGATCTGCACTAAAGACAATAATCCGCATGGAGCAACATAGAGCTTTTTACCTTAATAGTCTCCTGCTGGGTGAATACAACAATACGAGGAGCTGGAGCACGATGAGTTATTATTATAATCCTACAGCTTCTGTTTAATAACGTCAACTTAAACAAAATGCAGCTGCTTCCGCTGCATTCATCAGGGCTTAAGACCCTCAGGAGTTTATAACTCTCATTCCTCATGGCCACGGGGTCAGTGAGGCCTATTGGCTCTGTGTGTGTGTGTGTGTGTGTGTGTGTGTGTGTGTGTGTGTGTGGTGTGTGTGTGTGTGTGTGTGTGTGTGTGTGTGTGTGTGTGTGTGTGTGTGTGTGTGTGTGTGTGTGTGTGTGTGTGTGTGACTGGTGCCCTGACTGGGTCATGTTTGTTGTCTTTTAATGAATATCTGCCCTCAGCGTGTACACAGATCAAAGATAAGCTGATTCCAGTTGGTAGCAATGTTGATATCCTTCCTAAGACATGTGGAAACACACACACACACACACACACACACACACACACACACACACACACAACACACACACACACACACACACACACACACACACACACACACACACACACACACACATGCAAACACACACACACACACACAGCAGGGCTTCTGACCTCTTACATTCTGACATCTCCACAAAGCAGAAAACAGTCCAATTCTATCCTTGCCGATAGCTGCACGATATATTAAACTGTCAGCCGATGAAATCAAATGTCTGCGCTTGCTTCACTTAAGTGGACTCGTGTTATCAGAATTCAAATCATATCTGGTGTGTAAAGCGTATATTAAAACTCAAGTATCTTGTGTTTATCAGAAGTTGTGCAAGACCCACAAAGCAACAGGAGCGAGTGCGACCAGAGGTGAACACAAAGCTTGAGACAAACATTTCCTGCTAAGCTAACGGCGGCGTGGGCAGAGTTTGAGACGTACCTCCAGCCGTGGACCTGGAATCCGGGGCACTGATCCCCGCAGCGCATGCAGGGCTGCCCTCGGTCCGGGTCCTCTTCCTCCTGCTGCAAACAAAACACAAACTCTCTTCAGATCAGATCGGCATCATTTCCCGTGTGGCTTTTGGCAGAAGACAGAGAAAGGTTAAAGCAACAGAGGCAGCAGCACATCCAGTGTGTGTTAGACATGGCCGCAGAAACATCGAGGGTTAGAGAGTGAGCTGTGTTAACGCTGGAGCCTCGGGCAGAATGCACTCAAGACTCAATCCCATCAGCCTTTAGTTCGGCAGTGTGTTTCACGGAGCATGAGCCTTTACATTTCCAATGAATAACTTGCTGACGTCACTTTATGAAAATCCAACATCGTCATAACTCTTCTGTGTGTGTGTGTGTGTGTGTGTGTGTGTGTGCTTTTCTAGTAGACATATTAACCAAGAACTGCCCAGGCATTTGTAACATCTGTATAGGGTGGTGCAGGGATGATTTAATTGTCTAGGCAGACCTGGAAGTTAGCATCTTCTTGGTTCCTCAACAAAAACCAATGGGATGTTTCCATTAGATTTTCTACTATTGCAGAAAATAATCTAACGTTAGGCTATAAAGGAACTACACTACGGTCACATGACTTTGAACGGACGCTGCTAAGGCGGCCGATGTTTGGCGTGAGCCTCATTAAGACTGATAACTGTAAGGTCATATCTTTGCATGAAAAAAAAGTCATAAAATGGTGTTGTCAATGAACTATCTATCACCAGATCACACCTCTGTGCACACATCGTTTTTCCTGCTGATACATAACCAGCTGATTGAACACTAATCTCTTCTACATTATTCCAGTAGAGTGAATCACTAGTAATTCAATAATCCGTGACTCAGGTTAGAAGTGTTATGGCCTTTATGTCACTCCTCTATTACCATTTCCAAAAGTGCTGCTTTGATGCCTCCGTGTTATCGAACATGTCAGACTGTTCATGCGGGACTTCCCTGGATGAATAAAGGATAATAGAATTACAATGAAATAAGGACTTCATCTTACAGTCCTGTTAACTGTTTGACCAGAACAGTAGGTCATATCCAGAATGTGCCCTATAGCTACTGTTACAGACAATCGCACAAATGTCTTCTGCCAAAAGTGCTGAGCCAACAACAACTACGATAACTACCTCATATTTCACTTGTGATTCAATTCCTGCAGCCTAGCATATATGTGCATGTGTGTGCTTGTGTGTGTAGACTACAGACTGCACACACAAGCCTCTTTTTAGAGATGAGAGGAAGGAAGCAGACACAGGATGAGAGCTGCACCCTTTCCCTCTCCATGGAGTCACTCTGTCTCCACGTTCTCACCTCTCCTGTCTCTTAGCGTACTTTTCACAGGGAAAATGTGTCTGTATTCAATAAGCTCTGAACAGCTAGGTTCCCCTGTTCCAAAGGGGTTCAAGTCAAGTATGTATATAACCCAATATTCTTCTGTAATACAAAAACCTCCATTTGCACGAGGAAAAACTTCCAAATGTTGACTTCAAATAGGGGAAAAAAGGGAGAAGCTTTGTGATAGTTTGATACATTTAGTTCCCACTCATCATTTTGTGAAGATGCGTGTGCCCTATATGGACTTCTGTCTAAAAGCAAAGGGGAACACCCTCATATCTTCTGCTGTTTAGCTGAGGCTTTCAAAAGAATCTGCATGGAGAAACTGAACTACTCCAAACTATATTTGCAATTCCCAAATGCTTGATTATATGCAGACGCAGCGACGCTAGCAGAGTTTAACGAGGAGCAATAAAGTGCAGATATGTGATACCGCCCGCTACCTGTGCATACCTGCTCTGCTGTCTTTTGATCCAACCACACACACACCGTCATAAGGACAAGCAGCCTTCACCACTAACCTCCAAAGCATCAGTATTCACGTCGAGCCTGTTTTCTTCCCATGCAAAGCCCTTTATGATCATACTCAATGAAGCATTACTGCGATAAGGCTGAGTGTGCTTAGCTTATCTCACTGATATCTGAAGGTTGTAAGTGCTTTACTAATGCACTGACTCGCCAGAGAGACGTGGACTGGAAGCTATTAGCAGTAGGGCTGCACAACTCCCCAAAGGAAAGACTCATTCCAAGTATTTTTGACTGATATTGCATAGACTATTATTACCTTACATTTGAGTGGGATGCCTACCATAACAATGTTTTATTAAGTTGGTAGTTTACTGTTTGTAGAGCAGGATATATCTACTTCTTCAGGATGGTGTATTGTCCCATATAACATATATGATATATGACATATAGTCCTTCCCGATATTTGAATGTTGCATATAGTCTAGCTTGCTTTTTGTACTTTTGAGCCATTATGCTAGATTCCATTAAAGTACATGGTTCTAGGTTGAGATAGTAAGCTGTGGCTGTGTCCAGAACGTGTCTTTCCAGAATAGACCAACATGATGACAGTCAACTATAATTGACACGCTGGTATTAAGTGCCTCACAGCGTGTTGCGTGCATCAGGACCTGCCTTATGAAGCACTGCTTTGACTCACTATGACGGTTGTAAACAGAGCCCGTATGGAAGAGCTTTCTGATTGGACACACTACGAAGTGTCCGTACGTTAACTCTGGAGTGTGGCTACACTCCTAAATGTCACTGAGAATGAAAAGCCTGTAGCTGCAGGATGAAAACACCTTTGGAAACTGCAGCCGACCTGAAGCGACGACTCAGGAAGCGACAGGGTGTTACTGACTTTCCATTCAGTGAAAGGACACTTTATAGGCTCGTGTTTTCATCGTCATTTCTCCACTCTCTCTGTTTGTTGTGTGTGAGGCCTTTGTCAGCGGGTTAGACATTTAGAAGCAGAGAATGATAACCTCGACTGGAAGATTTTAGGGAGTGGGATCAGCACTAAAATATCATTTAAAAACAGATCCACAAATGATGAGTCCTTCCTTTTTGGAGAACACATGAAGTCAAACCAAGTTAGCGAACAGAAAGGACGATCTTTCAGCCTTGAACATTAGTCGGTTTGACATTTCCTTGAACGTTTCCTTATCGTGGTGACAGTGTCCTATAAGTCAAGGCTACACACAGACTGCATGTGTGTTTCCGTCCACAAAACGATAACGCGTCAAGTGTGTGTGTGTGTCCAACAATGAGGTTCGCCTGTTGTGCTGCGAGTGGAGGATGTGCTGGGAGGGGTGTGTTGGAAGTTTCTTCTAAACTGAGCGTGGGGAAAGTAAATAAAACGGTCGCCTAAATTCACGTCAGCTCACATGCTCACACTTCAGACTGTCCATATCAGCTGCCGTGTGTTTTCACTGTGAGGTTAAACCACGCCGCGCTGCTTGAGTTTGTTTTCTGCTACCGTGTAACCAGGTAATGGACAAACTGAGAGTCTGCCAGCTCTCTTATCGGACATCAGAAGGTAGGTTAGGCCGATAAGGGACTTTATTCGCCTATAGATCATGTACAGGCTTTTCATCATTTAACATAAGACGAAAAGATAATTGAGAAAAATACATTTATTAGGATCTAATTATTTAAACTCTACAAAAATAATAATAATGATCTCAAATTTAAACAAGTTATACGTAACACACTCCCTGAGATAAAAAGGGTAGAAAATAGACATTTCTCTTTAATTCAGATGAATACACAAAATATATAACGTAATTTAATCTTTGCAAAAAAGTGAGAAGTCCCAGATTCTATCTTATCCAACAATATCAAAGTATGGATTAATGGACTTTAAACTGATGTATTTGCTGCTTCCTGAATCTTTTTAAACTCTTAAACTGTTGGAAGTGTTTGGGAAGTGAATATTGATTACATGCTAAATGCTAAGTGAGTGGTAGCATTCAGGTGGGAGGGAAACACTTGTATGAAGCTGACAGAAGAGTGATTGTGGGTTTCTCTTCAATGTAGTGGTACAGAAGGGGATACACATTAACAGAGGAGGTCAGAGGTCAGGGGCCTTAGATGCCCCCTCCTCCTCCTCATGCTCTCATAGTTTGTGCATCATGCTTCCTGTTGCCTCACATAAAACAAAGTTCAAGATGCTGTTGTGGAGATAGTTGTTATGACTGCTTGAATTGTTTAATGTTTCTTTTCAAATGTAATATATGAGATAACAAGATAATGAGACACGACAAAATGACACTTCATTTGTACGTTATTATTTGAGTCCTACATTAATAATATTACATTTAAACTAAGCAAATGTACTTTAAAAAAGTCCCAGATAATATCTGATCCTAACATAGACACTAAATGGATCTGTCTCCTGCTCTGATCATCTGAATATAATATTGAATTTGTTAACAAAATAACTTCATGTATCTTCAACAAGCGTCTAGGTTACACTGTAACACGATTCCAAACTCACTTTTGGAGAGCTGATGTAATTGAGTGTTAGAGCATTACATATTCATGGTTTTCATCAATACCTGAGTGCAGTTATTGTACGTGTCAGGTGTTTAAAATACATCCTTTCACACGGGATATGTTACATATATATTGCTAGAACTATATTAAAACGTAGGGGTAAGTACATTGACAAGTATTTGAGTATCATTTTAAAATACATGAATTTACTTAAGTATTTTCATTTTCTTATACTTACTTATACTCCAGTTCTGATGCAAGTATTGCACTTTATGAGAGCTTTAGTAACTTCTCATAGTATTAATACAATATATAACACACAAACAATTGATGTATTATCCTATCATAAGTGAAGATGATGTCAGACTTTCATATAAATAAAGTAATGAAATTAGCTCTACATGTATATGTCATTAGCTGCAACATTAATATCATGTACACGTTATTGCACTAATAATAAAAATTGTATTAATACAAAAAAAGAAAGAAAATTACTCAATTCTGCCAAACGAGTAACATTACTTTTGGTACGTTTATTTTAATTGTAAAATGCTTGTACTTGTCTTTTTCCTTAGAAATATTTGAATACAGGACTTTTACTTGCAATAAACAGATTCTTTTGTGCGCTATTTAACCACTACCTACCCGAACACGTCTTGCACCGCTGTTAAATGCTGAAACAACTAACGGTACGTCCACACGGCAGCGTCGCGTTGAAGCTTGCCGGTGGGCGTGTCTGGCATGCGACCAACAACCAATCACATGAATCTCCCGCCCCGGACACACAAGCACACGGTTTGATTGGCTAGAGCTTGTACTGGCATATGATTTGATTGGCTGGCGCTTCCGTCGACGCTTGAAAAGTTGAACTTTTCTCAACTTTCGAAGCGAGCGACGGAGGCAGAGCGACGCGACGGAACCACAATGCAGTTCGGCAAAGCGTGAAGTCACCCCATTCAAAGTGAATGGGAAGCGCCTCTGTTGAAGCACGCGACGCTGCCATGTGGACGTACCGTAACTAGGGATGGGTATCGTTTGAAATGTATCGATTCCGATTCCGGTTCTGCTTATCGATTCCGGTTCTTATCGATTCCGGTTCTTATCGATTCCAAAATTGTAAAAGAAAGAGGTCAAACGTTTAGATAACAAACATATCTGTTTACAAATAAAAAATATACATGCAATACAAATGTATTGCACAATAGCTGTGCTTTATTTTAATTGAGCTATGCCTGTGGTTAGCTATTAACAGGCAGCATTACACTGTGCCTTGTCTTTTTCTTTTTTAGTGTAGTGGCGCCTCACCTTAGAGCGTTTACCGCGATCCATCTTTGGTGTTATGAAGTGACTGAGCTGTGAACTGTCTACTGGAGGGCGGGGGAACTGTGGACCTCTGTCGCCTGTCAGTGCAACTTACATGATGCCGTTAAAAATAAATGAAGGGCAGTGCCGGCCGTCAGCGTACCGAGTCGGCCGTTAACGGCCCGCTGACGACCGGCCGTTCTGTGATTCTCCAGAACACACAGATGGCCAGTCCGCCCTTACCTTGTATTCCACCGGGTCACCGCGGTGCAGACGGACCCGGTGGAAAACAGGGTCTACCGCGTTTAGGAACCGTTAAGCAGAACCGAAATTGTGTATTTTGTATGGATACCCGGTACCCGGCATTTCTTATCGGTTCTCATCTGGAACCGAGTTTCGGTTCCCAACCCTACCCATAACGCAGCGTCCACACGGCGGCGTACGTTGAAGCTTGCCGGCGGGCGTGTCTGAAACTCGGCCAACAACCAATCACATGAATCTCTCGCCCCTGACACACAAGCACACAGTTTGATTGGCTAGAGCTTGTACTGGCATATGATTTGATTGGCTGACGCTTCCGTCGAAGCTTCAATAGTTGAACTTTTCTCAACTTTTGAAGCGAGCAAAGCGAAGCGACGGAACCACAATGCAGTTCTGCAAAGCGTGACGTCACCCCATTCAAAGTTAATGGGAAGAAGCGTTGAAGCTTCAACGCATGCTGCCGTGTGGACGTACCGTAACACATGCAACTAAATTCAGAATAGTGTTTTATACACAATCTGGTATGCTATTAGATTAGTAGTGGATGAAGTGTATAAATGATACAAGTGATAGCCTGGAGTGATAGTCTGCGAGTAGGATTCACAGTCACTGTCTGGACATAATCCAAGTGTGCTGCAGAGCCAGATGTTTGGTGACCTCACATCTGTTCGTCTGCTCCCAAAACAAGCCTTATTTGATCAGTATCCCGATGGTGGAGGCTGTGTTTTGGGCAAAATTCCAGCTGCATGATCTCACAGAGCATCAATTGTTGTTGTAATGAAATACTGACAAAGGTATAATGAACAGGTGACTTTGTGAAGTCTCTGTCTTCAAAGCATCTTCTCTGAGTGTTCGATATTTTTATATTTTTATTTTTGCATTCAGCTGTTGATGCAACTAAAGATTTGTTCATTGTGTATTTTTCTTGATTTATCGATTAGCATAAAATCTCAGACAATGGTGAAAGAATGTGTTTCCCATGTTCTCAAATGTTTTGTTACATTATAACTATTATCATTATCTTATTATTATTATTATTTGTTTATTATTATGCTAAGTTATGTTCAGGATATTTTTTATTCAAAAGCATATATGAACATGATATCTTTTGTATACAAAACAAGTTGACATCAGGGGTGTCACATATATATATATATAAATATATATGTAATAATAAACAAATACATTAAATAAATACATTAAAATTAGTTTATTATTTCAGATTACATATTTGTTAAATACATAATTAGTTTAGATTTTTAATTCATAATAAATTTAATAAAATAATGTTTTAATTATTGGTAAAAAATGTTCAAAATTAGGTTAATTTCCTCTTATGAATATTACATTTCCTTAAAAATTAAATTACCTAAAAAAAATCCATCTGCATTCAGGTTATAGCTCAGGTAGAAAACGATGACGTATGACTCATCCTGACTGTACCTGGCGCCTTAAGAAATGACTTAAGAAACAAAGAATGTGCTTTCTGTCTTACAATACAATTAAAATAACACAATATAATGTAAAAGCAGAAAGACAATTGGGACATTTTTACAGTCAAATAAAACAATGTCCGACACAAAAGCCAGGTGAACGTGAAAGTTCGGCTCAAGCCGCTTTTACAGTTGGTCATTACAAGTTCCTTTCAAGTCGAAATATGAAAGCAAAGCAGATAAAAAAGCTTTAAAATAACCCTAAAGTGTGTTTCCTAATAGAGAAAAGGTCGAATGACAGGTAAATGTAGGTGTTTGGTGAGTTTTATAAGATGTAAAAACACTCACCGAGCGGTTAGACCGTCGCTTTTTAGATCCGCGGAGGAACATCACGTCAGTTGGTGCTTAAAACACCGAAAAAAGAAGATTCCTGGTGAGTAAAAAATATATAAAAACACGGTGGAGTTATATTTAAAGTGCCTTCAGTCTGTGTTGAACTACATGATGTTTCCCTGAGGACTGACTGATCCTCTTTCCGCTAAGAGAACTACTTTAACAACCGACAAGCTACTGCAACTGAAAATAAACTGACTTCCGGTTGTGCTTTCAAAATAAAACACTTCCCAAACATGTTGAGGCTGACAAAAAAAATAGTTGAGATATGAATAGGAAATAATATTTACCGTTTATGTCATTTATTCATTTATGTATAGTTTTATAAACTTCAATTAAAGATAATAATAATAATAATAATAATAATAATAATAATAATAATAAGCTATATTTGTAAAGCACCTTTCAAAATAAAACACTTCCCAACCATGTCAAGACTTTGCTTGAGCAGGCACAAACTGTCTGTTTTGCACATGGGTTTTGCACAGTGATATCTCTGGAACCCCTTATCCAATTTTGATGGTTGACATCTCATTTGAACAGTCAAAGCAAGTGGAATCAAGGGGTGGCAAACCGAATGACACCAGGGGTGAATTTTATGTTATCATTTTGCAGTAAGTTCAAAGATAGTGCTTACTGTGCATTACTGTATATTATAAAAATGCTTGCCATGTAGGCTGTGTTTTCTGGAGATGGAAATGCTTTAGTTAGTGTTGTAGCTTAGATTATCCCCGTTCCAATGATGTATGGGATGTATTGATTTGATACAAGCAAGTCAGTGGGTTATTCTCAATGTCGAGGACGCTTCCTTGGTAGGACAAGTCCCTCCGAGTCAGGTCCTTCAGAAGCGATGCAAGAATCCTTCCTAGCCTCGGAAAACGAAGAATTGTGGAACAGGCTAACAGGTGTGCGTCAGGCCCCGCCTTAAATGGAGCACGATTTCCGCCAAAGATTTTGGAAATTGGTCCGTGCGCAAAGCATTGTGGGGATTTTAAGACCGCGGAGCCTCGAAATTTTCCGCAACGAAGGACACCGGCCGGTAGAATACCAAGGATCCTGGACATTGGAACAGTCTTTCGGCGGCACTCGATGACGTAGCATCCTTGAAATAGTGGCTCTGGAGGAGCCTTCCTCGACATTGAGAAACATCCAGTGTTTCATTGTGTACTTTCAATACAGTATATGGTCCGGACCCACCGGTGGGCCCATCAAGTTCAGCATTCACTGTCATGAATATAAAATAAGACACTGATACTGTTCAGTGTTTTCCTCAATGAACATTTAGAGAAAAATAAATATTCAGGGGTCCTCTCCAGGGGCGTTGCCTGGACCTGGAAACATTCGGGGCTTAGCCCACAGTGGCGGCGCTACAGTCGAATTTTCTACTGCAAGACTCCCCACACGCACATACACAATTGCGCCATCTGGTGTCACAAACGTGTGTCTGCATTAGCTTTGTTACGGCAATGGATTGTGGGAGATTCTCATAGCACGTGAGGATTTCTTGAGGGTAACGGTGTGTCCACACAGCAGCTTTGACCAAATCTTGAAAATCCTGGAGCTGGGCGTGTCTGACAGCTTGGGGATTTCGCGACCAACAACCAATCACATGAATATTACATGAATATCCCGCCCCCGACATACAAAGCAAAAAAACCCGGTTCTTCTACACTATTGTCAAATAGGAAGGGCTATGATGAACATTTATTTTTTTAACATTTTGAACATTTATGAGATTAATGTTTATGGTGCTATTTTATGCTACATTCCATGCTGGCTAATGATACTGTCTATGCTTGCTAGCAACGAAGTAAACTAGCAACGAAGTAAACTGGATATAAAATCCCCAAACAAGCGAAAACCTACCAGTTTCACCCACTGTCTCTGCCACCTCCCTCCATGCCTGGTTCCTCCGGTTTGTATCCCGGTAAGTAAATAGGGACTGGTCATAAAGAACCGGGTGATTTGCTACCGCAATAACTAACTTCTCCTCCATTTTTGTGGAATATAGAAATGAACTGCGGGTCTGGTTCTCCCAGCTTGCACGCGGTTTGATTGGCTAGCGCTTGAACTGTCAGATTTGCATAAACGGATCTGATTGGCTGTCGCTTCCAGCTCAGCCTCAAAAGTTGAACATTGTTCAACTTTGGAATCCTGAACATCCTGAAAATCCTGGAAATCTTCGCCTCGCCCCCCCACAATGCAGTTCGGCGACAAGCGAGGGAAAGTGACGTCATCCCCATTCAAAGTCAATGGGCGGAGACACGCTGGAAGCGGTGGACAAATCGCCAAAAGCTGCTGTGTGTACGGGCCGTAAGGTGCCTGTATTATCTCGGTGGACAAAATGTATGTTTTTATTTTATAAGGACAATAACGTACTGTTGTGTTTGTTTAGTTTAATGTTAATTGTTTAATGCTCACAGTCACAGCAACATGTTTTTGTGTGATTGGTTTTATATGATTTATCAACGTGATCATCAATAGCTAATCTGAGCACCAGACCCCAGCTCACGTGTCCTTTTATGCTGTCCATTGAAATGCAGGAAAGTAATCACCAGCTCTGAGTGATCTGTTGTGGAGGGAACACTACACCGGAGTTACATAAGCAGAGATAAAGTGCTATTTTGAGGGAACTCACCTCCTCTGGGGTCCCCCAGGAAGAATTTTTTTAAATGTTGAAGTTAAAAGCATCAATCTTGTGCACTTTGAGAGCAACATTAAGAGATATGGATACATCTCTCAACACCCATATGTCAACAAAAATCAAAGAATCAGAATCAGAAACGGGTTTATTATTTAAAAACACTTTATTTTCCAATTAAATCATAAACTATGTCAAATTATTAGAAGTTGTTAGTAATCAGATTAAACAGAAAAAAGGGATGGAAGGAGGAAATAATAATCCCTCATCACTTGCTGTTTGCGGTTGAAATGGTCTCTTTTGCTGGCCAAACATGCTGGATGGAAAGCAGTGATGTCTCACTTGCCTTGGCCCTCTATCTGCTGTCCCTAAATCAGTCATGTTACCCATTGACTCTTGTCTGTTCTGGTGTTCCTGTTCATTGTTGTCTCCATTGTCGTTCTTGTCTGTTGTTTCTCCTTCTTGTGTGTCCCTTTCTCCTGTTCTCCTTTCTTCATCCTCTACTCTGTTTGGCTCATCTGTGATGACTGTGTAGGTAACACAAACAAGTATGTAAGTCAATCAGTTTCCAGCTCTGTCAAATAAATGAATTTCAAGATACACAAATTTGTCTTCATTAAAATGAGTGTCACCACACTCTCACACAATGTAATACTAAACAATTGAAAATAGTTAAATGTACATCTCTTGTAGATATCACTGTTAGAGTAGTTATCTGCCAATAGGACATAATCATTCCTATACAAATGCAGTTTGAGTAATTCACTTAATATATTCACTTCATACTTTAATATAGTCATTTTCACTTAATACTCTAATATAGTCATCTTTCTGCATTCAAAACTAAGGAAAGCTGTACAATTTGACATGATAATGAGGAAAAAAGGCCTCCGACAATGCAGATCATTTTGTGATCATATCAATTTTAAGATGGGGGTCAAGGCTTAATATTTGGGAGCATAGTGTCCCTTGCCCCCTTTCAGGAGCCCCACTGGATTAGCTTTGATCTGAAAGCTTGTTAGCTGGCTGTCCATCTCATAATGTACACATAGAAACTAGCTGTCAATAGGAATATCAATCAGAAGAATTATAATTTCATGCAAAAATCTGTCACAAAAAGAGGTTGCACATTTAAATTCAGGTGTTGTTATGGCAACGTCAGTGGCCAAACAGCCACATTTACTGCTGCTAATACGTTCAAACATGCTGTTGACACGTAAAGCAATGGCAACTATGCCACCATTTCAGCTGACTTTTCCTCAGAAATACCGTCACATAACATCCATATATGTCAGTGCTAGGTTGATGCTTAGCTAAGCTAACTATGAAACACTTTAACTGACAGGACTCCGGATCAACTGTGTAATGTAAGGTAGCTTCTAGCTTCATGTCGAACACTGACAGTAAGTCAACATTTCCCAGAGAGCTTTCTTTGAAATCACCAGGTAACGCTAAAAAACACAACATTTAGATTGTATGACAAAGTGTTTATTTAATATATCTGGCTAGCTATAGCTACTTGCTAACGGTTTAGCTTACCCCCGCGATTCAAAGTAACGTCAACGTAGCTATAATGTATGCTTTGCTTACATGTTGACATAACTTGTAAGTTTACTGACATTTACATACCTTGTTCACCTGGCTCAGGTGGTGGCTCTGGGGTTGTTGTGTGAGCCACCACTTGAGAATTGCCGTATTTTTTATTTAAAAAATGTCTAATGTCCATCTTCAGAAACTCCGCGCCCGCGGCTGAAAGTTTAAAGTTTAAACACTGTCACAGAGGAGAGGTCAGCCAATAAAACACGTTTATTTCCATGCAACTCTCGGATTGGTCTGGTGGTTGCCTCTGTTGCATTCACTGAACACGGGAAATTACAATTCTGCCATCCTCTAGGTAAAGTACAGTTAATGTATTATATTATTGAGGGAGAATTTGTCCGGGGCTAAAGAAAAAACATCCGGGGCTAAAGCCCCGGATGCCTACCCCAGGCGACGCCCATGGTCCTCTCCCTCATCTGCCTTGGCACGAGATACATTTGTGTACAGATGCAGGTAGGCCATCCAATTATCTGACCCGGGCCAAGGCAGATGATTGGTCGTGCTTTTTACAGTACCACGGCTTCCACAGATGAAATATTTGTATATATTTATTGTCAAAGCATTTAATGTATTCATTGCTATCTGGATGTTAAGAGCATTCCATGGAATATAACAAGTGTTTCTGAAGTGAATTACCCCACCTTTAAAGTTGTATGTTATGTATGCACTCTTTATATTGAGAGCTTGATATGTGTTAACCAATCATTAATTAATTAATGCATTAATTAGTTAGATGTTCTAAATTAATACATTTCTTAAAGGTAAAACAAATAATCCCTGCTTTTATTTTGAAGGTGTGTGATGCATACTGACAGTGTCTTGCTAACTTGACCATTTCTCTCCACAAACCTGAGGCAACAAACTGTCCCAAAGTGTGTCCTTTACTTCACCTCCTATGCTACAACATGAAAGTACAACTACACACACACCCCTCTCCTACTCAAAAAAACCCCTCCTTTACTTTCTGATCCTCACCATGTATAGTCTTTATTAATCCATCTGCAGTCTGCATCCACAGCGAGGAAGAATAAATACTGCTAGATAAATATTTAGAGCAGGAATTATAAACCCAGATATGTTTGGGGGAAAGTTATAATCACACAGCAACATGGGGACTTCGTTTGAAAACAACAAAGTCAGTATGAGCTCAAACAAAGGATTATCCTTCCCCTGAAGTCTCTAAATAACATGGAGCTTGTGTACAGTAGTGTTTTTGCAGCAGTGGAAAGTTAGAAAGGCTTTTCCTTAAATGCAATGTAATCTGAACATGAGAAGAGGGGGAGAGCATGCATAGCTGTGTGTGCAAAAGAAACATTCAAATAAGATTAGAGAGCAGATGCATGGTGAACCAGTGTGTGTACAACAGTGTTCCTGATTATATCTGAACACCAGCTTCCTGATAAGAGTCTGGTGCTTACACCACAGCTTTACTGAGGTTTCTGCTACTTTACTAACTTGAACTTCATTACTTTATTTCTAGGCGTTACATGTATTCATTTATTTCAGAAAATCAGAAACACTCTGCTTCCATCTACTGGTGATCTGACAGAAAGCAACTAAAGACCCAGCATCACTTGCACTTTCATTTAACTTTTGTGTTGTGTTGGAAAGCTGTTACCGTTCATGGTGTTCGCGGGTCCATTTTGACCCATGATTTATCTCAGTCCAGATCACTCAAAAACAATGACTATCATCCAATATTGTTTTAACTACATCATAACTAACTTATAATGCATTCATAACCGTACAATGCTGTAGTCATTTTATTTTATGGCCCCAAAACACATCACACCACATATTTAAGTAAAACATTTGATTAAATGCACTCATCATTATAATGGAAGCCTGTTTGCACCACAGGAAAAAAAAAATCAAAAATCCTGTAAGTCAATATATTGACTTAGCTATCTCAATATATTCCATTCCATTACATGTTACTTGTTAGACGCTTTTATCCAAAACGACTTACATACTTATATATATATTGACTTACTATCTCAATATATTGACTTAGCTCAATACATTTTCAATATATTGAGATAGTAAGTCAATATATTGAGATAGCTAAGTCAATATATTGAGATAGCTAAGTCAATATATTGAGATAGCTAAGTCAATATATTGAGATAGCTAAGTCAATATATTGACTTACAGGATTTTTTATTTATTTTTTCCTGCGGCGCAAACAGACTATACATTATATTCCCTATAGTGAAGACAGTGGATCATTATGTTATCTGACTATAGACTAATATTAGAATACAATTTGAGGGATGGGAGACCAGGTGCATGTTGCAAAAAAAATATTGTTACAGTGGATGAAGGGGGTGGGGGGGGGGGGGCGGGTGTCTAAAGTCAACGATGAATCTTGATTGAGCCACATTTGACCCCGAGTGACCCACAACATGCTGCCGAACACCAAATGATAAACCTTTTGTTTTAGAGACCTTCAAAACTTGGCTAAAATTGTCAAAATCAGTTTTGTAGTGTTTAGGTGTTGTGGAGGATATCATGAAGCCTTGTTCCGATCAAAAAACAAGAGCGTAGTTATTATATCATTTTAACTTGAAACGGGTCACGGGAGACCCGAACACAACATAAGGGTAAAGCTGTGTACAACATAATGTAGAACATTGTAGAACTAAATGTGACCTTAATGCAATCAAAAATGAAACACATGTCATAAGACCAATAATGTAATACAGTCTCCTGATATTTTATTAATATTTTTACAGATAGTGTTAAGGTGGGTTAATATATGTATTTCTTTTTTAAATGTTGAATTATTCTAAAAGACAATTTATTACAAGTACTTGTTTTTTGGAAATGTGTGCAAGTATAAAACATGAATTAAACTTTTAGTTTTATGTAAGCTTACTGGAAAACACGAATGTAATATAATTAACATTAATTTGCACCTAATTTGAAACGGTTATAACAGGGAAAAATACCATAACTTATAGTGCTTTTTATCATGCTATTTTTAGGCCTCAGATATATATAAAAAAAAAAATATATATATATATATATAGCAAAACATGTCTATGAAGTGTTGATAAATAATAAAAAAGGAGGGGTCTGAGCTCATGCGGGACCCGGCAGCTACTGTCTAAACTAAATGCTGCCGTGATGAAACGCCATATCATGGATCATCAAGGATTATTTCTGAAACAGTCTGGAGCTCAAAGGCTTTCTCTCTTGCCGGTTATACCACAAGGTGAGTTCCTTTTTACTTCCTGCTTCTTCACACACATGCTCTCCAGTACAGGTTAGCTCCGAGTGTTAGCGATGCTAATGTAAACATCGACCATATTACGTCCAAAACAGTCGGGCATTGTTTCTGATAGCAACGTTTCTGATTGGGCCGTGGGTCCACATTTCAGATATTACGTCATATCGGACGCAAATCTGGATCAGCTCCGTTGTTCCCCGTTTTTAGAGATTTGGGTACGGAGGAAAAGAGAGAGGGTTTTATTTTCTGACGCTGCGTGAGTTCCCCGACACACCGGGGACACATGTTGATGTATAAAAGACATAAAAAAGTCCATTTTGCATGATAGGTCCCCTTTAAACAATGTGGTATTAACATTTCTAAATGGGTTTCTTGTAAAAAATTGACAGATTATTTCTTAATGCAAAACGTCAAAATGAAAAAATGTTGTTTTAGTTGTTTGTTTGCTTAAAGTTATTATTTTTTTGTCTTGAGTACTTATACATTAAAAACGTGTTATTATATGTTTTTTGTTTATTTCATTTAATATTATTATAACATTGTTGGTTTCTAAAAGCTGTCTCCAACACAGAGGTTAAGCGGTCTTATAAGTGAACAATATAAAAGCACAAACACAGATTTTCTTTGTAGTAACAATGGCTTTTATTTCCCAAAGCAAGGCTGCTTTGAATTTAGAAATGACAAACGGCAGACTCTTGTAAAGCATGTTAGAAAAAAAATTATAATCATAACAAGGGAATGTTTTACTTAAATAACCACGAAAGGGAAGAGGAAACGGTTACAGAGAGTATTAAAACTGTGACATTCACATCAGAAAATTCTACCTATTGTTCCTTTTTCTGTGTGCCTCTTCAAAAAGAAAGTTTATTTCACTACTGGACTGTAAAAAATGTCAAAAGAAAACTATTTTGCACATTAAAAAAGGAAGAAAATAAAACAACCTGAGCAAAAATCAAAGTGGAGGATGACACTGTGCTTAAAATGAGGAACGTGTTGTTAACGGATACTGAATTAGTGCAGCCAGAATACTGCTGATGAATGACTGTAGGACACTTCAAGAATATAAGAAGAAGAAACTGGTTAATTTGACTTTAAGGCACCGTACACACTCTAAAGAGCAAAGATTAAATAACAGTGTTTAGCAAACCACTGGAAACACTGAATTACGATGTTACACCTAAACTACCCATCCATGTGTAAAACTACTACAGCGGTCCATTAACAGTAGACATGTGTATTAAACAACCATTGCCTATTATGTACAGTTTCCCTTTCTTAATCAGAGGTACATAAAGTGGTGCAGTGAAGACGTATTTTTGTAGTCTGACCCTGAAGGCAGCATCTCCCTGGTTCCCTCGACTCAAAGTCAATGGGATTTTTCCATTGGATTTTGGAATATTGCAGAAAGTATTCTTACATGTTTTGTTCAGCAGGATAAACTCCAAATATTGACTCTACTTTTTTTAATAGATGAAACTTAAACGCAATCTCCAGAAGTAAAAAGGTTATACAGCACGGTCACATGACTTCTCATCACCACCGCTAAGCTAAAGGCGGCTAAGGCTAAATCTCATTTAGACACGTATTAGCAACCATGTTTTTTAATTCACCAGCGGCTATTAACTGACGTATTTGATGTCGTACAACAAAACTTTAAAGGGGCCCAATTCTTAGATTCTTATTTTGTGCCTCTACTGGGACATGTCTCCATGTTTTAATGTTCAAAAAGCTCTTTATTTGTCTCATACTGCCTGTGCTGCAGCACCTCTTTTCACCCTCTGTCTGAAACCAGAGCCCAGTCTACTCTGATTGGTTAGCTGGCTGACTCTGTTGTGATTGGTCAACCACTTAGAGATGTCCCGCCCCTTAGTCTATCACGTACAATGTGTCTGAGCGCTAGCCAATAGGATCGTGAGTGTTACACAGTGATGTCATAATGTTCCTGAAGTAAACAAAGGAGTCCAACGGAGGCGTTTTTTGGGGGGGGGAGGGAAGACCCCCTAAAAGCATAATAGGGCCTCTTTAAAATCCCTTCAGCTTGTGTTCAATTCAATACTTTTATTTATGTAAACCACATACCTTATTTTAGGCTTCTAACAAAAACACATACAGAAAAAAAACCTTGACTTTGCGACGAGGGAACAGGGAGTGCTAAAATGCTAACTAATTTCTGCACCACTCTATTGAGGTTGGAGTAAAGGTTGATGTGCAGGCACAGATGTTCAGTACCGTCCACAGCGTACAGCGGCATTAAACTGAGACCTCTTGATTTTCACTGTCCGTCGTCCTCTCTGATCCACGCCTCCATTCTGCACACAGTCCTCTTCAATCCTGGCAGAGGTTTAAACTCTGTCTTCTGTATGGAAAAAAGGAGATAATATATCAATAGACAGAAACCAATGCAATTAACTTAATCGGAATTCTAAAAAAGAACAGTGATTTTATAATCTCCTGTTAACGATTGGAATACTTTCTGAATATAATTGTTTTTGTGGAGAACAGGAACATTTCGATTCAAAATGGTTTCAGTTTCATCAAATTATACAAATATATTCACACTTTTAAATGTCCTTTTTGTTCCTTTTGCAGTTGTTAGTAACATTTACAAATAAATAACATATTTTTTAATGTTTGATTTTGAAATGAATGTTGAGAGTGAATCATTTAGACAACTGATCTTGTCTTGTTTGCAAAATAACGTATCAAACATGTCGTTTCTCTCACCGGTGGAGGCTGCCGTGTGCTGCCTGATGGTCTTGATGTGCAGGAAGATGGTGTAGGTGTCGTAGGAAAACAGCAGACCCGCGATCAGACAGAAAACCTGAGAATCAAACAACAGAGTCAGAACAGGTCTCCACTTAAATGTTATTTGCATGAAACTTATCTGTAAAACTGAAAAGCAACAACAGAACAAAAAAAGTCCATCACAATATCAGAGAGCACAGAGTTGTCTTTGCAGCTTCTTTTCATATTCCATGAAGCTTGTTTAGTATCTCCTATTGCATTCATAATATAATTAGTGGTTGTATGCCTCCCACTCTGCCTCTGGTTTCCCTGCACTCTAAATTAATTCCTCTCTTGTCTCTCTTTTTCGCATCCTCTATATTCATGACTTGAAAGAGAGTAGAAAAACGCACTTTAAAATGTTATTGTGATTATTTTCTTACTGGTGCATTTTGTGTTTTTAGTATTCTAGCAGAAAACTGAAAATACATTGATAATATATGTATTGCAAGCGGTATTGTTATTACATATGTTCTCATATTGTACCCATCATTCGTAGCTACAGTAAAATCAAACCTGCTTGAAACCTTGCTTTCAATCACCAGGTGAAGAGACATCAGGATCAGAAACTCAGTAATGATCAAATGAACGAGTGACATTGAACACATCACTGTTGGTTAAATGCACAATATGTAAATAACGGCCACTAGGGGTCTCTCAACTAAACTGTAAGGAAAGCTGGAGTTTTCACATGTCTTCATTTGTTCGACCAAAGGTCCCAAACTCCCAAATACTTAGGTGATAAGAAGAATGATAAGAAAGATTTATTCAACAATTGTATTGCATATTTGACTGATATCTGCATCCCTATCTATCTTTCTTTTATTATTGCGTCCTTTTGAGTTCAGTCCGATGCTCAATCCATACAAAGAATTTGAGCCGCATTGTATTGCATCATTTCATCATATCGTGCATCCATAGCTACAATCAATTCAAACATGCTTGAAACGGCACTTTCAAAATGTAATCATCAAACTTTTATTTTGTATTAATTGGTGCATCTTCTGTTTTATTTGATCAATAAAAGAATGCTGGACATTTCTTTCAACTTTTATTTTTTGAAACAGCAATTTGTTGTCAAAAAAACGTTGTGCAAGTTCCCCCTCATATCGTGCATCACTAGCTATGATAACGTCAGACCTGCTTGAAAACGTTTTCTCTCATCGTGATAAAGACATTTATAAAAAGGTGATATTGCATTCAAGTTGAAGTAGAAATCAGCTCCTGTAAAAAATGTTATGAAGCTCAGGGAGACCGTTTCCCACGCTCTCATTCACAATTCTCTCTCACTCACTCGCCCTTTCATTACATTACATGTCACTTGTTAGACGCTTTTATCCAAAGCGACTTACATACTCAATACTGTGGACAATCCCACAGGAGCAATTTGGGGTGAAGTGTCTCAGGGACACAACGACATGCTGACTGCAGTGGGGTTTGAACCTGTGACCTTCCTTCAATAAGCAAGGGCGCGTCATACCCCCATTGATGCAACCCACCTCCACCTCCTTCACCTCCAGTCATCAGATCCAGGGCCAGGCTAGCCCAGAAGAACCCTCATCATTAAGGACCCTTCAGCACTTCACCAGCACCGGTGTCTAGACCCCGGGGGCGGGGGGGGGCTTCTCCTCCCCCCTAAATCCATCACAGTATGATGGGGTCTAATCTCCAAAATGTATATTACCCCTCGGGCAATAAATATGCTATCAAACTCACGGAAAAAGGCCCCGGCCACACGAGGACGAAAACGGTCGTTTGCGTTACTGTTTAGTGTCATATAGACCAGTGGTTCCCAAACGGTGTGCCGCGGCACACTGGTGTGCCGTGAGGCAAGTCCGGGTGTGCCGTGGGATTTTGTGACAACCATACGTTATTATTGCAATAGCCTATACAACTACACTGAGCACAATCTCGATTTTATGTTTTTAACAGAAACTTGGATTGAACAAAATAACAGTGCAGCTGTTCTTATCGAATCAACCCCTCCCAACTTTAGTTTTATGAGTCAGGAAAGAATGCATAAGAAAGGAGGTGGAGATGCTATTCTGTTCAATGATTCCCTTCAATGCAGGAAGACATCGTATGGAAACTTTGATTCTTTTGAATATGTGGCCCTTCGGCTGAAATGCTCCTCTCGAGCTCTGTTCCTAAATATCTATAGACCACCCAAATAATGTGCAAGCTTTTTTGATGACTTTACTGAACTGCTGTCTATAGTGTGTATTGACTTTGGCCGTCTAGTTATTGTTGGTGATTTTAACATCCATGTTGACAACCCCCAGGACAGAGGGGCTAAAGAACTGTGTTGTGTTCTTGATAGCTATGGACTGACTCCGCATGTGACGGAGCCCACGCACAATAAGGGGCACACTCTGGACTTAATTATCTCAAAGGGTCTGAATATCTCTGAGGTTGTGGTGACTGATGTTGCACTCTCTGACCATTCCTGTGTTTTCTTTGAGAGCTCTATTTCTGTTCACAAAAATGTTCAAAAAGAGGTAACCACAAAGCGATATTTAACTGAAAATACTAGGGAAATGTTTACTCAGAATTTTTCTTCCACACTTGCCCCTGCTAACATCTCAGTAAATGAGCTAGTAGATCATTTTAATTCAAAAATTAAAAATGTTATAGATGCCATTGCTCCAACTAAGGTAAAGGAAGTGTCTGGCAAGAAAATATCTCCATGGAGAAAGGCCATGAGCGTGAAAACAGAAAAAAGAGAATGTCGAAAAGCTGAACGCAGGTGGCGAAAAACAAATCTCCAGGTTCACTTTGAAATCTATAAAGAGAGACTTGGCCTTTATAATTTGGAATTGAAAAATGCACGACAATCGTTCTTCTCTGACATCATTACCAAAAACAAAAACAACGCACGTGCCTTGTTTGCTACCGTCGACAGACTAACTAACCCCCCAGTGTCAGTAGCCTCTGAATTTCTATCCACCACGGCGTGCAATGATTTTGCCTCCTTCTTCACTGACAAAATTCAGAAAATCAGACAAGCAGTCAGTGCCTCTGCATCAGGAACAGCAAATGTTTTGTCTCTGTGTCCACCTAATATCAATTCAAACACCATGACACAATTCCATCAGATTAATGATAAAAACCTAGAGGACATTATTCAACTTCTGAAATCCTCCTCCTGCTGCCTTGATATTATTCCAACAGGATTTTTCAAAGATGTTTTGCCTTGCATGGCCTCAGATCTACTTCATAAAGTAAACAAATCTCTTCACTCAGGTATTTTTCCACAGGCCCTGAAAACTGCAGTCATTAAACCGCTCTTAAAAAAGAATAATCTAGATGCTTCAGTAATGAACAATTACAGGCCCATATCAAACCTCCCATTTCTAGGTAAAATCATTGAAAAAGTTGTTTTTCAACAGTTGAGTAATTTCTTGCATTTAAATAACTGTTTCAATGTGTTCTAGTCAGGCTTTCGTCCAAACCACAGCACTGAGACTGCTCTTGTAAAGGTCTTTAATGACATCCACTTAAACACAGACAGTGGCAGAACTTCAGTGTTAGTATTATTAGATCTCAGTGCTGCGTTTGACACTGTTGACCACAGCATATTACTAGACCGACTGGAAAACTGGGTGGGACTTTCGGAAACAGTTCTAAATGGGTTTGAATCCTACTTAAAGGACAGAAACAACTTTGTTTCTATAGGTAAATACACATCTGAGTTGACAAATATGACATGTGGGGTACCTCAAGGCTCCATCTTGGGGCCTCTTCTCTTTAACATCTACATGCTACCACTGGCTCAGATAATGAAAAACAACAAAATAAGTTACCATAGCTATGCAGATGACACACAAATGTACATAGCCTTTTCAAGAGGAGACTATGCTCCAATTCAAACACTGAGTAAGTGCATTGAACAAATCAATGACTGGATGTGTCAGAACTTTCTCCAATTAAACAAAGATAAAACTGAGGTAATGGTTTTTGGACCCAAGGCAGAACGTATCAAAGTTAGCGCTGAGCTTCAGTCTGCAATGTTCAAAACAACAGATAAAGCCAGAAATCTAGGTGTAGTCATGGACTCTGACCTGAGTTTCAACAGTCACATTAAAACAGTTACTAAATCAGCCTACTATCACCTAAAGAATATATCTAGGATTAAAAGACTAATGTCACAGCAGGATTTGGAAAAACTTGTCCATGCTTTTATCTTCAGTAGACTCGACTACTGCAATGGTGTCTTCACAGGTCTCACTAAAAAATATATTAGGAAGCTGCAGCTAATTCAGAACGCTGCTGCTCGAGTCCTCACTAACACTAAGAAAGTGGATCACTCCTGTTCTGAAGTCTTTACACTGGCTTCCTGTGTGTCAAAGAATAGATTTCAAAATACTGCTGCTGGTTTATAAAGCACTGAATGGTTTAGGCCCAAAATACATTTCTGACCTCCTGCTAAATTATGAACCATCCAGATCTCTCAGGTCTTCAGGGACTGGTCAGCTTTCTGTCCCCAGAGTCAGAACTAAACATGGAGAAGCAGCGTTCAGTTATTATGCTCCAAATATCTGGAACAAACTCCCAGAAACCTGCAGGTCCGCTGCAACTCTGACTACTTTTAAATCCAGGCTGAAGACTTTTCTTTTTGTCGCTGCTTTTAATTGAACTATTCATATCTTAGACTGCACTGTAACTTTTATCCATGTATTTTTTCTTTTAATGTTTATTTTATTAGCTTTTCTTTTTAATGACTGATTTTAAATGCCATTTTCTTAAGGTCTTTCATTTTTTGTAAAGCACTTTGAATTGCCTTGTGTTGAAAAGTGCTATATAAATAAACTTGCCTTGCACAAAAATAATTATTTTTGAATTTACTATATCAGTACTTTGTAGGTTTATATGTACGTAATCTGCGCGACTTGTGCGTCCACATCTCCACGTGCAGTGCTGCATAAACATGGCTGAGTCAGCGATAACTTTCGAGGGGTGGAGGCAGTGCTTGAATTGGAATGAAAAAGGTGCCAGTACTCTAAAATCAGCAACTTTTTCAAGTCAATTTTATATATA